GGGGGGGGGGGGGGGGGGGGGGGAAACATACGAGGACGATGACCGAGCCGAAGATTTGGACGATGTAGCGCAGGAGCATGGACAGATTGACGGTCATGGAGTTCTGGATGACCTGGGAGTCGCTGCTCAGGCGGCTGGCCAGGTCGCCGGTGCGGGTTTGATCGAAAAAGGCGATATCCTGGCTGGTGATGGCATGGAAGAGATCGCGCCGGAGGCGGAAGACAATCTGGCGATCGACGAGGAGGGCGGCAAAGGGGACACACAGCAAGGGAGACAGGGGGCCAGGGTCAGGAGAAGCATGAGGGGGGAGGGGGAGGGGGGCGCACGGCCGGGACTCGCGAAGGGGAGGCTTGTCTGCCTGGACATACCCGGTGGCCGATCAGGGTGAAGACGCTGGCTCGCGCAAGGCCGGTGATGGCGCCGATGGTGGCCACAATCAGCAGCAGGACCACGGCCTGATTGAGGTTGGACCGGGGGTCGAAGTCCGAGGAGGAGCCGCTGCCGGACACCGGCACCAGGGCATCCACAATGACACCGATGAGGAAGGGCAGGGCCAGCTGCGTGAGGGCGGTGATCAGCAGGGCAAAGCAGCCGACAAGCAGAAGGCCCATCTCCGGGCGAACGAGGCTCAGCAGGCGCATGAGGGTGGCCTTGCTGTTCGGCTCGCCGGGCGCATCGGCCTTGGGGTCGAGCTCGGCGCCTGTGACGGCCGGCGAAGTGGGAGTATGGCTGCCGGCCTCCATTTGCCGGAGGAACATCTGGTCCAGGGCCAGGAGTCGGGCCCGGACGTGGAAGATGCCCAGCGGCACGGCCTCACCCAGGGCAAGGCCGAGGCCCAAAACCAGCAGAGCCACAGCGATGCCCTGGCCGCCGAAGCCCTCGAGCGAGGCGGCCCGCTCGGCCGGCTCCTGCGAGAAGACAAGGCCGAATTTGACCGCGTAGTTCACGGCCGCCGCCAGGGGGATGGCCACAAGGGCGAGGCGCCGCAAGAGGGGCAGGCGCCCGCCATGGTAGATGGAGACATTGCTGAAGGAGGTTCCAAGCGAGAGGAAGAGAGACTGTTGACATAGAATGGGGGGGGGGGGGGGGCACCATGCCAGCACATCCGTTAGGATGATCAGGTCCGCGACAGGGCTCGGCCCGGCAAGGGGGGCACTGGACGTACGAAAAACCGAAGGAAGGACCCGGCCACCAGATCGAAGGATGAGGACCGGTAGGAGTACCCCTGAGAGGGAGAGAGAGGGAGGGCAGGGAGGGAGGGACATTCCCGTTGCCGGGGCGGGGGAGGTGTTGGATGTTCAGCCCATGGGGAGGAGGCGAAGGGAGGCGGACAGAGGGGCAGGCAGGAGGGCAGGCAGGCAGGCAGGAGGGCAGGCAGGAGGGCAGGCAGGCAGACAAGCAGGCGGGCGGGCAGGCGGGATCACGCACCAGGACACTGTGGTGCACGTAGTCGGTGAAAGTCAGTGTCGTGGAGGTCCAGCCACCGAGCATCCAGAGGCCGAAGACCACGAAGGGCGTGATGCCGTAGACCGCCAGGGGCACCGTGGTGGAGAGGGTTCTCCGGTCGACGCGCGTCTCCTCCAGCAGCGCTGGCTGGTAGGACGCCGCGTACTTGGCCTTCATGGCGAGGCGTTAACTTGGCTCACGGAGCGTGGTCGATGGCGGTGCTTTGTGAACGGGCAAATGTATGTGTATGTGTGTGTGTGTGTGT